CTTTCTTGTTCCCTGTTGGTCCCCCTTGGGTAAGCCCTAATTTTCTTAATTTAATCAAATCTTCACCAGTGCATGGAGAAGCCTCTTGTTCATGGCTTGACTCCTAAGGAAGAGGTTGATACTTAGTGATCTAACTCATTTGAGGAAGTACTTTGAGTCTGTCACAAAACAATAGGAAAGGAAGAGAAGCTGTTTTTATTTTTAAATACTTATGAGGTGGTCTAACAATACAAGGCTAAGACTGCAACAAGTATGTAAGCAAAAAAAATCCACTTGCCAGGAGATGCGTTCATTAGTGGAAATATTATGCCACTCTGCTATCAAACACACAACTGGTTAATGGAATCCTAGTTCTGTGTCTTAACTACCAGATCAGCCTTCCTCTCTAACTTGAAAAGGATTCAGAAAGCCAGTTAAGAGCAACTTAGTTGCAGTTTTGCATTTCAGCTAACTTGTACAAACTAAATCAAGTTCTCTGACAGGAGTTTTCAGCTGCTAGTGTTGTTGTGCACTTTGGTGATCTGTTTCACAAACACAAAATCAACCACACACTCAACTCCCTTCTCTTTGAGAGAGCTTTCAGATGACTCTTCACAGTTGTCCCTTTCTAGCCAAACTAAAATCGTGGCCTTTCTCTCTGTTGTGTCCTTCTCAACATTAAGTTCCAGATGACTGAAGCAGAATTCTTTAAATTCCCCACTGCTGCCCCAAACCCTCGGTGCTACTGCTCCCTTTCTCAGTCCCCATGGAGAAACTATCTCCAGATCTAACCTCTTAAACATAACCTGAATGTGAGAGCCCAAGCCTTGAAAATTCTTATTGTGCAGCACTTCATTCGCACAGAAGTGTTGTTGTCCTGGCATTTTTCATGTCACTTTGAATATTTCAAAGAGGAATAAATTAGGAGTAGCTATACTGCCTTTTAAATGTACACCCTCCCATGGTCCAGATTAAGTCAAATGATCAAATTAACAAACCAGCCCTACAAAGAGCATCTCACAATTCAGATAGATGTTCAAGTATATTAATCTTACTTGACGTCAATTGAGGTAATCTTTTCAGGGCCTGTAAGCCTTTATGCCCACAGGTTCTTTCTGTATAAGGTTGCTTTAAGTGAACAGTCAAATTTATAACATTTAGTGAACTTCACATTATGGTAGCTGATTCATCCAACTCCATGTATTGCAGTATTATGATTTGTTTTGTGAAGTTGGACACTTCCCTACCCCGTGTCATAAGGAGGAATGGGAGTTAGGTTTTGGAGATGCATTGGCTGGTGGCTTTTCAAAATTGCTTATTTCTGCAGTTGTCTTATGAGTACTTACTGATTGCCAAAACTGTTGGCTCAATAAGGAATGTTTTACTTCACGAAAAGACCTTTCTGTCAGCTTTAGAGTTATCTGAAGATTACTGGTCTTTCATTTAGAGATTTCCACTTGTATTTAGGTTAGGGCCTAGGGTGACATGCTTATGATTTAATATGGTATATGTTTAGGTACTTCAGCATGTCTGTTCTTCAAAGGTAGTAACCCAAGGCAAATCCCTTAATTAAAACATCAACATACCACACCAGTAACTGTGATCCAAACTCATATGGCAAACATGTATGTGCCTCCAAAAAATCCTTCTCGCAAACAGTTTTCCTTTTAAAACTTTCTATAGATTGTAGGCTAGTGAGAATCTTTAAAAAGCACGCAACGGCTCTTTACTATGGCACCAAAAAATTGGTTTTATTATGAGGTCGCTCTAATTCCTTGCCAGCTGAACTGAATTGTTTGTGACCTTACTTTTAGCCTTTATACAATAAATGGCAGTATTGATGATTGAGTCTTCCAAATACATACCACTGTATTTACTCAAATCTAAGACAACCCTGAATTTAAGACAGCTCCCCAGTAATTAGATTCTGTATATGGAAGATTTTATACATTAGTTGTAATTTTCCAGGTATAGAATCTAATTATCGGAGAGGTGTCTTGAATTCATCCTGTCCGGCCCCCCCCCCCCACACACACACACAACTGCTACCACAGAGAAAGCAGTGAGTGGAAGCGGGGGTCAGGTGGCCCCCTTGTCCTCTTCCCCCCCCAGCTTCTTTCCTCTGCAGCCTCCTTGTCACCTGCACCACCTCTGCCCTTAGCTCCGCAGAGTCTCTGCCTCTTCTCCCTGCCCCCATTCCCCAGTCTCTGCCTCTTTACACATGCCTCTGTCACTCCCTGCAGTCTCTATCTCTTCCTCCCCTCCCTACCATCAGATGCTGATCAGGCTGTATGCCCTTCCCAGAGCACAGCACGAGGAAGCGTAGCCATTGTTGGGCTATGCAGCAGTGGCAGCACTGCTGATTGGCTAGGCAGGGGGTGGAGTTTTTGTGTGCTCCGTGTCCAGGAGGGAATCCAGTCTGAGCCCAAGCCAAGCTGTACGTGGCAGTAAGGTGAGTGGGACCAGAAGCCGCAGAGGGCAAGGGGAGTGGGCGCAGCAGACAGTTGTTGAGGATCTGACTCTGGCCCCAACCAAACCTAAGGACCAGTCAAAGCCACGGGAGCTGTCTGCCCCCTGTTCTGCTTTGTACATGGATGTAAGACAAGAGTCTTCCCTGTCCTCCCACCCCCCACCGCATGCTGATGGGGAGGGGGAACATCATCTTACAATTGAGTGCACACTGTATTTCTTTTGCCTTCATTCTTTAGTTTAGCTGTGGTGTAAGAACTTATCTAGGTCCCAGATTTCTGAAATTCTCTGTAATCGTTTTTTTCAGGCCTTGCTCATCTCATTGGATCACCCATGCTCAGAGCATATATGCATGGCTTTTTCATGGATATAAGGTTGTATCATAAGGTAAGTAAGTTAACTCTTTACAACTGTTTGTAATTGTCATACATTTTTGCCTTTGTGGATACTCTGCAATGAGAAAAGCATACTTTTTCATATGCTACTTTTGTCCATTTTAATACTTTCTGATTTGTGTATTAAAGGTGAAAATGATGGTCAACCCATTTGCTTATGAGGAATATCGAAAAGAGAAAATCAGGCAGAAGATAGAAGAAACGCGTGCACAGAGAGTTCAGCTCAAGGTAGAGCCCTATTTATGATGATTAAACATTTGGAGAAAAACATTCATAGAGAATATGCACTTCCACTCGTACCTGAAAGCATTGGGAATTTATTCGGTTTATCCTGATTTTTGTTGAAGTTGTGAAATCAATTTGTAGCTATGATTTATATACCTCTTTTTGCATGGAACTGTAGCATCCGTATGTATATGGATCCTGACTTGAGATGAAACCATTATTTTAAAAAAAAAGATGATGTTTTAGGTTAAAAAGTGCAACAAGACTGAGTAGATAAGCTAAGGATAAACTTGCAGTTCCTATTCTACCTGTAAGCCTGGAGGTTAGGGGATAATTTGAGCCCTTAAAATACAGCTCAGTTCTGAAAAGTACCACACTAAAAATGGCATCCAAGGATTTAATGCTTGTATACAAGGCTTTTCAGATCAAGTAAAAGGATTATTTTTAACAGTCAATTCTGCCAGCCTTTCCCTATCCCTGAGAATTTTTTCAGCAGATCAACACAGATATCTTTCCCTTACAATTCCTTCCCCCTCTCTTCCTCCCCCCGCCCTCAGTTACTACTGCTGGACCACAGTGAGCAGGAAGTCTGTCTGGATTTTGCAACTCTGTAGGTGCCCTGTTAGCAGAGTTTATATGGTTGAAGAAGAAGGACCTCTTCTGAGAGAGTGATACAACTTCACAATTGACCATTAGAGCATTGATTGTGCAGAGTTCTCTATCTCTAAGGAAGACTACAGCTTTGAGGACCTTTCCCTTCCTACTGGCTGAATAGTTAACAATCACAGGACTGTTTTCTAACTTAAGTCTCTGTGTGGGAAGCCATTATTCTGGTGAAACATTTCTAATTGTGCTGTTCCTAGTTGTATTGGTTGAGTAAATCCACTTTTAGGTAGAAGGTTTTAATCAATGTTGAGAAGTGCATTTGTCCTTGGAGCTAAAGTAATGAGTGTGAAATAGGTAAAATATCTAAGGTTCTTTTGCACAAAGGAACAATGTACTGATGAGTTTTCTTTCTTTAACTAGAAACTTCCAAAGGTTAACAAAGAGCTGGCACTCAAGCTGATTGAGGAAGAGGAGGAGGAGCAGGAGGCTTCTAGAAGAAGGAAGCAAAAGGTACAACCGTTTTGTTTCAAAGGTTTCTGAAACTCAGCAGAAACGCTGAAATAGTGATGAACATAATAAACAGTTTACTGTAGGTCAGTGTTTGGGTGACAAACACTTTGTCTTTTTATAGAACGCTGTGTATATTATATTAATTGATGGCTTTACAATAGACTTGATCAGTGTTTGGTTGTTCAATAGGCTGCTTACAGATGTGGGGGGGGGAAAAAAACCGTGTCCTTTACTTTAAGCTCCGTGTGCCCCCATTCTGAGCACAGCATCTGCCCAGAAGAGGCAGTGTGTTAGTTGGACCCGGCTTGCCTAACATCTGTATAGATTGGCTGCTTTCGTGGGGCTTTATGGTGCTTTTGTCTAAAAGCTGGTTGAATCAGCTAGTAGATAAAAGTGTCAAAAAGCCCCGCTGAAGCTCTTGATCTATACAGACACTGAGGCTAGGGATAGAAGTTACACACAAACTGGTTTAAGTGAGCAGAAACTGGTTTAAACCTATAACAAAACATAAGTTCAGTGCACATAAACCAGTTTCAAAATGGCTGAAACCGGTTTGAGATAAACCTGGCTGAATGTAGTATCAGACTTAACTGATTGAGGTCACACTAGTTTATGGAACTTCTGTCCCAGACCCCTTCCTGGTCTGGTTAAGTTAAACCAGAGTCCCCCAGCAGCCTGACATGCTCAGCAGCCCTGGGCAGGGCTGTGCTCTGTGCTCCAGTGGAGCAGGGCTGGTCCTGTCCCTCTGCTCCCTAGCTGGAGCATGAGTTGGCTGGGGTTGGGGTGTGGCCAGATGTCTGTGTCCCCGTGTCTCTTCCCCCCACCCCCCCCAGGCAAAGGCAGCAGGGAAAAGTTTATTCCCCAGCTTCTTCCCCTGTCCCACCAACACGGACCTGCCAGGCATTTCTACACTTGCTGTTTCAGTGATGTGGTTGTGGCCAGCCCCGGCAGTAACCTCAAGTGAGCTAGCTAAGGTGGAGTGGGTTTAAGTCTCCCCTCCCCATCCCACCAGCATGGACCCGAGCTGGAGTCCACCTAGTTCTCCCCCTTGCTGCTGCAATGGCAGGTGTGTGGTTAGATGCTGGCTGGCATGGTCTCCTTAGGCAAGGGAACAGGGAGGAGGGCTATTTCTCCCCTCTGTCTGGTGGAGGGGGCAGGGAGGGGGGTTATGCTGCCGCTCTCCCCACGCAGGGAGCGAGCAGCTGGGGCTGGCAGATCCCAGCAGCAGTCCGCCGGGGGCGGGGTGGCGCAGAGGGGCATAAACCCCCTTCCTGCCCCCTTTCCCTCAGGGGGGCATGCCAGCCAGTGTTTGGCCACGCCTCCGCCCCTGCCCCTGGAGCAGCAAGGGGGAAGCGCCAGGTGGGCCCTGGTTCTGGTCCATGCCACTGCATGCATGTGCCTGCATTTATTGAGTCAGAGTGAAGGTCTGTTCACTTGCAAATTGATTCAATCTAGGCAGGTTAGACTAACCTGCAAAGATTGAATCAATTCAGGCTCCAGCTTCTTAATATTAGTCCTTAGCCTGAGAAGCTGGGTTGAATCAACACGCTACCTCTTCTGGTAAAGTGCTGGGAGTTTTTTCTTTTTTTCATGCCTGTCACTGCTGGTAATGAAGAAGCACTTGCTGAGGAAATGAATTATGGAAAAAGAGGAATACAGAAACTCTACACACTTGGTCAACAGCAAAGTACTAAAAAAAATAAACCCTTTTTATTAATTATTTGTTTCATGATAGTTTCCATAATATGTTAAGTGTTGTCCATTACTAGAGGATGAGAGAGTATACTTCCTTAATAGTTTAATAGAATCTTTTTATTCTGTACTTAATGCCTCTTCCTAAAATACCCCAAGCTGTCTATTCTTTTATGCTGCCATAACTGTTGTACAGCTGATACCAAAACTGCCTTATACTCAACTAGATGTTAAATAAAGATATTTCTAGTAGTGTTTATATAAATATTTATATATAACAGTGTTTAACATCTGGCAGAAGAGACAATCCATGCATTTGAAATCAGAGGCATATGATGTACTTTTGTAGAATTTTGAAGACTTTGTGGCATGGGCCATAATCTACAAGATATATAACTTGTCCTGGCACCCTCCTAATGTCTAACAGAGGCTTGCTGCACTTCATATAAGTGAGGATGACAGTGAAGTTATCAGCTTGCAGCAGAAGAGCTTAGTGTTGGAATTCATATCATCATCTTGTGGCTGCCTATAAATTCATCAGGGAATGACAGCAGGGAATAGGAGATGCTCTGTTTACTAGGACACTCCCTGAAGTAACTTGGAACAATGGCCACATTGGCAGAAAGCAGATTTAGGTTGGACATTAGAAAGAACTTCTTTACAGTAAGGGTTGCCAGAATCTGGAATGGGCTTTCAAGGGAGGTGGTGCTCTCCCCTACCCTGGGGGGTCTTCAAGAGGAGACTGGACAAGCACCTAGCTGGGATTGTTTGAGCCCAGCGCTCTTTCCTGCCCAGGGCAGGGGGTCAGACTCGATGACCTGCTGCGGTCCCTTCCGACCCTAACATCTGTGAATCTGGGGACAGAGTGTAAGAGTTTACAGCTCATGGGTGTGATGGTAGGGGGAGAGAGATCACTGAAAAGCTAGGGTTAGAATCTTCACTGCAGATTTTCTGAGCCTGTTCCCCAGTGGCAACACTTTAGCTTCTTGGATAGTTTATTCATATGTGTTTTTGAATATTTCTCCAAAACTTTGTGAATTTTACCAAGAGCATCTGGTTTGGTTTTGTGATGTGTCAGTTTTTTCCACTGTGTTTTCTGGATTAGATAATTAACAAGATTTCTGTAAGGTTCTGAGCATTCCTTTCTTAAATCTGTCCCCTTTCACCGTTTCTTTCCTTTGTTGACAGCTGTGAAAACACACCATTGTGCTAGGAAAGCTGCTTGGGGTAGTAGTTTTGCAGCTGCTTCAGTTAAGGAATTTTTAACGTAAAAATAATCTTTGGTACTTTTTAACTTTAGGTATAGTAATACACGAGTAGAAATTTGAAATCAAGTTGTGCATGATCCTACTGCCATTGTAGTCAGCGCCAAAACTTCTTTTGCCTTCAGGGTGTTGGGGCAGGCCTTCATCAACACAGACATAATTGCTATATATTGTGGTGGCAGTGGCAACAAGTGTATAAGATATGTAGAACCCTTTTTAAAAGTCTTAATTATTTAGTGTTGGAGTGATGCTATAGCCATCGTGGTCCAGGAAATACGCAAGAGGCAAGGGTTTTTGTGGCTAATGTATCTTACGACATTAACTGCATGGTTGGAATAGACTTAGGTGCACCTTCAAATGCATTATATTCTTCTTCAGGTCACAATTATTTACATAGTCATAAAATATCAATGGAATAGTCTTTGTAGAACACTGACCTGGAGTTTAGGTTTTTTTGTTTGATTTGGGTGAGTTGGTTGCAGGGTGAGGGTTGCCCTATAAATGCTGCTGATTAATTGAGATTTCAAGATGCGTCCAAATTTGAGAGATTTCAGTAACGCGTTGTAAACACTAATCTGCTTAAAGTTCCTATACTTTGTTTACAAAGGCCCCAGAATAATGTTGTTATTTTCTTTATGGAAATAGAATAAATAGTAAAGTGCCCACAGTTTAAATTGACTACATTTGTTTTAAAGGGGTTCTAAAGAATAAATATTTTACATCTTGTGTTTTCTTGTTTAATTATAAGCCTAACACGCAATTGAATGAGCTTTACTTCTAAAATCACTTATCAGGATTTCTTGCCAAATTTTATAATCAGGTTTTGCTTTTCATTCCTTTTCAGAACCTGCCTAATATTCTGAAAGATGACCGCTTTAAAGTCATGTTTGAGAACCCAGATTTCCAGGTGGATGAGAAGAGTGAAGAATTTAGGCTGCTTAATCCACTTGTTTCTAAAATTAGTGAAAAAAGAAAGAAGAAACTAAAAATTCTAGAGCAACAAGAAGCACAAGAACAGGTAAAGTATTCTTTTGGATTGGAATGATATACTGTTTTTGTTTACTGTGATAAATGTTCAAGTATTTCATGTTATGTGACCTAGGAAAGAGAAAAAAGCAGTGGAGAAAAATCTAATTAGTGTGATTTAGATCTAAAACTTAAATGGACCAGTTAGATAATCTAACATATTAGTTTGTCTGTAAAAGCAGTTAATTTGCAGAATCTACTCTTCTCTGCTTTGATTAGTTATTGTATTTGTTAACATTCCTCGCAATCTCTGCAATTACAACTTTAGGTGCTCTAATTGGTCAAATAGTTTAAAAAAGAAAATGAGTTAATCATTACTTAGAGTAACTATTTTTGTCTGCAGGAAGAGGAGGAAGAGCCAGAAGGAAAACCAAGTGATGCAGAAAGTTCTGAGAGTTCAGATGATGAAAAAGGTTGGGTTGAAGAGGTCAGGAAACAACGCAAACTTTTACGCCAAGAGGAAAAAGTTAAACGGCAGGAAAGGTTCAAGGAGGATCAGCAAACATCACTGAAACCCCAGTTTTTTGAGATTAAAGCAGGGGAGGAATTCAGAAGCTTCAAGGATTCTGCCAAAAAACAAAAGCTAATAAAGTAAGACTACCATTTCTGCTCTCACATTTGGGGTAGTGTATCCTCACCTAGCTCTTTATAGCATGTAGGCCAGGTTGTTTTAATTTCTGTGATAGACTTGAAAATAGTTGTTTCTAAAGCCAGACCCATTGACTGGTGGGTATGACTTAAAATAACACAGTTGTCGCATCTGTGTTTCCCCCGAGTTATGCAGATTTGGCATGTGTAGTTCCTGTGCTGTATTTTAAATGAAAAGGGTTCAGTGTTCTGAGCCAGATTGGAGATACCTCCCTCTCAGTGGTGAACTTTTGCTCACACAGTCATACTGACATCAGTGTGCCCACTAACATGCATAATGTGTACGAGTAAGAGATTTACACTCTGACCCTTCATTAGGCGTGGTAGAATACCTCAGGATTTCTCAGTGTTTACTAAGTAAAGCATTCTTTGTATTGGAACAGAAGACTAAAATAACAGGCTTTTAGCCTTTTTTCTTTGACGCTTAGCATTTTGGATAAAACACGCTGTTTTTTTTGGCTTCTAGTCTGGAGGTTTTCGCTGCACTCTGCTGGAAGTCTAGATTGAGATTTTTATTTGAGTCCCACATTTAATTTGTAGCTTTCAGCCTGGGTGTCAGCTAAGGCAGCGATTCCCAGCCCAGGTCCCATGGCTTCAGAGAATTTCATGAACCACCTGTTAAGGGTGTTGCAAGGCGCCACGCAACAGTAGCACTGTTGGGTGTGCAAACACCTACACATGAGTCGCAAGATAAAACTAGAGATTTAAGACAGGATTCCATAGCATTAAAAAATGGTCTGTTGTGGTCTGAGTTTTTTGCAACAGAAGAATAGTACTATTATTTTTCCAAAATCAAAAAAATAGAAAAAAGAAAGAAAACTAGGAGCTAGCACTTTCTGAGGGGTGCCTTGAGTATAACAAGGTTGAGAACCACTGAGCTAAACCAACAATCTTCTCTGGGCTCACATACAGAGTTAGTACACTTGGGATTGTTTTGGTTCTAGAGGATAGGGCTGCTTTTTTCCTCCTTGTAAACTTCTTTTGGGATGTGCAGTCTATAGGCCAAGGCTGTTGTATGCTCGAACAAGGGAGACATGCACATTTTAAATGTGTATTGCTATTGCAACTTCAAAACTTACCTGAAAAAGAGAACAGATCAGTTGAGACAGTGCTGTGATTTCTATCATTTGCCCAGAAATGTCAGCATGCCTGCCAACTTGCAACCTGTTCTTTTTAGGAAATTCATCTAAAGACCTCTAATGTCCTACACCTTTCAGGGACACTAAATAATTTGAAGGCAAAGGACAGAGGAAGTATCATAAGCAGGGATCCTGGTTTTCCCTAATAAAAAAAAAATTGCAAATTCACTGATTCAAGAACCCCAAAATCTGTGATTAAAATGAAAGACCCCACAGCTCCCCCAGCCCTGCTGGTGCCCCTCAGTCCCCTGGCCACTGCTTCTACATGCACATGGCGCCCCCTGCCCAACTGCTGTTCTCCTGCTTCCTCCCAGCCCCCTGTGGGCTTGAACTCTGCCATCCTGCAGAGAGCTTGTTGCAAAACTGGGTTTCTCTGTTAAAATGAAAAATCTGCATTTTTCTCCATTTCCCCATGGGAAATGGGAAAACCTGGATTCCTGATCACAAACATAGGGGCTTTAACTCAACAAGCAGAATGAAAGATTTGGTAAATGAACTTTTAAGAAGGGACTGAAACACTCAGAAGTAATTAATGTAAGCAAAGGAGCCCTCTCATTGTGGACATTACTTAAAAAAAAAAAAAAAAATTGTGTGCGTGTGTTTCATAGTTTCATAGTTAGTAGGGTAGGAAGGGACGCGAGCAGATCATCAAGTCCGACCCCCTGCCATGGCAAGAAAGAGTACTGGGGTCAAACGACCCCAGCAAGGTGTTCATCTAACCTTGTCTTAAAGACCCCCAAAGTAGGAGGCAGCACCACTTCTCTTGGAAGTTGTTTCCAGATCCTAGCCGCCCTGACAGGGAAGTAGCGCCTCCTGATGTCTAATCTGAATTTACCCCCTGCCAGCTTGTGACCGTTATTTCCAGTCACTCCTGGTAGTGCTTGGGGGAACAGGGACTCTCCCAATGCCTGCTGGTCCCCCCTGACTAGTTTGTAACAGGCCACTAGATCCCCCCTCAGCCTTTTCTTTTGGAGGCTGAACAGGTTCAGGTCCCGTAGCCTGTCCTCATAGGGCCTGCCCTGCTGCCTCCTGATCATGCGAGTGGCCCTCCTCTGGACCCTCTCCATGCTGTCCACATCCCTCTTGAAGTGTGGCGCCCAGAACTGGACACAGTACTCCAGCTGCGGCCTGACCAGTGCTGCGTAGAGGGGGAGGATCACCTCCTTGGAGCTCCTTGAAATGCATCTGTGGATGCATGACAAGGTGCGGTTGGCCTTCCTGACTACATCCCAGTACTGCAAGCCCTAATTCATCTTGGCATCAACGATGACTCCAAGATCCTTTTCTGCCTCTGTACTGACAAGAAGGGAGTTTCTCAACCTGTAGGTATGGTGCTGGTTGTTCTTC